GGCCTCCAAGATGGCCCCATGACGGCCCAAGAGGCCCCCAAGAAGGCCCCAAGAGGGCCTCAATACGGCCCAATAGGCCTCCAAGACGCCCAAGATGGCCTCCAAGACGGCCAAGATGGCCCAAGATGGCCTCCAAGATGCCTCCAAGACGGCCCAAATGGCCTCCAAGACGGGTAAGATGGCTCCAAGATGCACCCAAGACGGCCCAAGATGGCCTCAAGATGGTCTAAGACGGCCCAAAAGGCCCGCAAAAGGCCTCCAAGACGGCCCTAGAGCCCTCCAAGACGCCCTCCAGGAAGGCCCGAATAGGTTAAAACCATTGATTTTCCTTTGGTTTTTGAAGGATTTTGACGCGCTCTTCTTTTCAGCTCTCCGACGGCCCAAGACGGCCCAAGAGGTTCCCAACGTCGCCCGAACAGCGCCCGAGAGGCCCCAAGATGGCCCCATGACGGCCCAAGAGGCCCCCAAGAAGGCCCCAAGAGGGCCTCCAGACGGCCCAAGAGGCCTCCAAGACGCCCAAGATGGCCTCCAAGACGGCCAAGATGGCCCAAGATGGCCTCCAAGATGCCTCCAAGACGGCCAAAATGGCCTCCAAGACGGGTAAGATGGCTCCAAGATGCACCCAAGACGGCCCAAGATGGCCTCAAGATTGTCTAAGACGGCCCAAAAGGCCCGCAAAAGGCCCCCAAGATGCTTCCAAGACCGCACATGTGGCCCAATATAAACCCAGAGTAGCCAAAAAGGCACTCAAGAGACCTCCTCCTCCATTCCCCCCCTTCCTATCTCTCCTCTTCTCCCCGTCCTCCCCCACGTGTTCCCCGAAGGCTGTAAAGACCGATTCGGGGAACATATGGCCCAATAACTTGGCAGACCTCTGACCACAGCAGTCGGCCGCATCGGCGCTTCCGAAAGGGCAGGGGGCGGCGGTGATTCGCCGTAGGCGTCTTCGATCCGCCGCCCCCTGCTTGCAGGGGTGCACGGCGTGCTGGATGATTCAGTTTTGGTTTTGGTTCTTTTTCTAAAAGAACTCCCCAATGGGCTTCGGCCCGTCCCGCCGGCCACCCGCGAATCTCCCAAAATGCGTCTGTCAATGCCCAAAAACGGCCGTTTCGCTCGGGACATCCTCAAAAAATCGCGAAGATGGCCCAAGATGGCCTCCAAGTCCGCCCGAGATGGTCCAAGACGGCCTCCAAAACGGCCCAAGAGAGTCCAAGACGGCCCAAGACGGCCCAAGAGGCCCCCCCAGAGGCCTCCCAGACGGCCCAAGAGGCCTCCAAGAGGTCCTCCAGGAGAGTCCGAAGAGGCCAAAATCATTGATTTTCCATTGGTTTTTGAAGGATTGTGGCATTTGCGCCTTTTCGGCTCTCCGACGGCTCAAGACGGCCCAAGAAGCCCCCAAGATCGCCCAAGAGGCCCCCAAGAGAGCCCCATGATGACCCAAGTGGCCTCCAAGATGGCCCCTAGAGGGCCCCAGGAGGGCCCAAGAGGCCTCCAACACGCCCAAGATGGCCTCCAAGACGCCCAAGATGGCCTCCAAGACGGCCCTGGAGCATTCCAAGCGGGCCCCAAGTCGGCCCATAGAGGCCCCCCAAACGGCTTCCGACGGCTTCAGACGTGCCATGAACCCACCAAGATGGCCGAAGTTGGCTCGAAGCTGGCCCGAGACGGCCCAAAAAGCCCCAAAGATCGCCCAAAGCTTGCCCAAGAGGCCTCCAAGACGGCCAAGATGACCTTCAAGATGCCCACGTGTTCCCCGAAGGCTTTCCAAACCGATTCGGGGAACACGTGGACCGATAGCTTGGCAGGTCTGGCCTCAACGTTCGGCCACATAGGCGCTTCCAAACAGGCAGGGGGCGGCGGTGATTCGCCGTAGGCGTCTTCGATCCGCCGCCCCCTGTGGTCTTGCCACAGGGGTGCACGGCGTGCTGGATGTTTCAGGTTTTGGTTTTGGTTCTTTTTCTAAAAGAACTCCCCAGTGGGCTTCGGCCCGTCCCGCCGGCCACCCGTAATTTTCCCAAAATCCGTCTGTCAATGCCTTTGTTGCCCCAACTTGGCCCAAGATGGCCTCCAAGACGGCAAAGATGGCCCAAGATGGCCTCCAAGATGCCTCCCAGACGGCCAAGATGGCCTCCAAGACGGGTAAGATGGCTCCAAGATGCCTCCAAGACGGCCCAAGAGGCCCTCCAAGACGGCCAAGATGGCCCCAAGATGCCTCCAAGATGGCCCAAGAGGCCTCCAAGACGTTCTCCAGGAGAGCCCGAAGAGGCCAAAATCATTGGTTTTTCATCCGTTTCTAGGTTATTTGAAGGTGTTTCGTGTTCTTTCATTTTCGCCTTCCGACGAGCACAAGAGGCCCCCAAGATGCCCCAAGAGGCCCCAAGAAGCCCTATGACGGCCCCAGGGCCCCCCAAGACGAGGCCCCCAAGAGCGCCCCCAAGAAGTCGGCCCAAGATCCTCCAAAGACGCCCACCATGGCCTCCAAGAAGAGCCCTGAAGCGCCCAAGAGGTGCCCCAAGACGGCCCCAGAGAGGCCCCCAAGACGGCCTCCATGACTGCCTCAGACGGACCAGATAAGGCCCTAAGGACGCCCAAGAGGCCCCCAGGAAGCCCAAAGGCCCCCAAGAGAGGCCAACGGAGGCCCCCAAGTATGCCTCCCAACGGGCCTCGAAGAGGCCACCAAGAAGCCCCCAACAGACCCCAAGGTGCCCCACGAGACTCCAAACAACCCTCATTCCTCCTAGCTCTAATTCTTCTCTATTCCTCTTCCTGTTCATAATCATTCTCTCCCATGTGTTCCCTGAAAGCTTTCCAAACCGACTCGGGGAACTCATGGTCCGATAGCTTGGCCAAGCTCTAGTCCAACTTTCGGCCACATCGGCGTTTCCAAAAAGGCAGGGGGCGGCGGTGATTCGCCGTAGGCGTCTTCGATCCGCCGCCCCCTGCTTGCAGGGGTGCACGGCGTGCTGGATGATTCAGGTTTTGGTTTTGGTTCTTTTTCTAAAAGAACTCCCCAATGGGCTTCGGCCCGTCCCGCCGGCCACCCGTAAATTTCCCAAAATGCGTCTGGCAATCTTTGTTGCCCCAACTTGGCCCAAGATGGCCTCCAAGACGGCCAAGATGGCCTCCAAGATGCCTCCCAGACGGCCAAGATGGCCTCCAAGACGGGTAAGATGGCTCCAAGATGCCTCCAAGACGGCCCAAGATGCCCTCCAAGACGGGCCAAGATGTACCCCAAGATGGCTCCAAGATGGCCCAAGAGGCCTCCAAGAGACGTTCTCCAGGAGAGTCCCGCAGAGGCCAAAATCATTGTTTTTCCTTAGGTTTTTGAAGGTGTTTTGCGTTTTCATCTTTTCGGCCTTCCGACGGCCCAAGAGGCCCCCAAGATCGCCCAAGAGGCCTCCAAGAAGGCCCTATGACGGCCCAAGGGCCCCCCAAGACGGCCCCAAGAGCGCCCCAAGACGGCCCAAGAGGCCTCCAAGACGCCCAACATGGCCTCCAAGACGGCCCTGACGCGCCCCAAGAGGGCCCCAAGACGGCCCAGAGAGGCCCCCAAGACGGCTCCAGACGGCGTCAGACGGACCAGGAACGCCCTAAGACGGCCAAAGAGACCCCCAGGAAGCCCCCAAAGGCCCCCAAGATGCCCAAGGAGGCCCCCAAGATGCCTCCAAGAGGCCTCGAAGAGGCCCCCAAGAAGCCCCCAACAGACCCCAAGGGTGCCCCAAGAGACTCCTAACAACCCTCAGCCTCCTACTCTATTTCTTCCTCTTCCTCTTCCTGTTCATAATCATTCTCTCCCATGTGTTCCCCGAAAGCTTTCCAAACCGACTCGGGGAACTCAAGGTCCGATAGCTTGGCCAAGCTCTAGTCCAACTTTCGGCCACATCGGCGTTTCCAAAAAGGCAGGGGGCGGCGGTGATTCGCCGTAGGGCTTCTTCGAACCGCCGCCCCTGCTTGCAGTGGTGCACGGCGGCTGGATTGAATCAGGATTTGGTTTTTTGGTTCTTTTCTAAAAGAAACTCCCCAGTGGGCTTCGTCCCGTCGAGAACCGCCTTAAGAGGTAGGCCACAATCCTGCTGAACTTTTCCCCCAAAATCCCTCTTGACAATGCCCAAAAAGGCCGTTTCGCGTCGCGTCGTCTCGGGACATCCTCAAAAAATCGCGATGATGGCCCAAGATGGCCTCCAAGTCCGCCCGAGATGGTCCAAGACGGCCTCCAAAACGGCCCAAGAGAGTCCAAGACGGCCCAAGACGGCCCAAGAGGCCCCCCAGAGGCCTCCCAGCCGGCCCAAGAGGCCTCCAAGAGGTCCTCCAGGAGAGTCCGAAGAGGGCAAAATCATTGATTTTCCCTTGGTTTTTGAAGGATTTTGGCATTTGCGCCTTTTCGGCTCTCCGACGGCTCAAGACGGCCCAATAAGCCCCCAAGATCGCCCAAGAGGCCCCCAAGAGAGCCCCATGATGGCCCAAGTGGCCTCCAAGATGGCCCCTAGAGGGCCCCAAGAGGGCCCAAGAGGCCTCCAACACGCCCATGATGGCCTCCCAGACGCCCAAGATGGCCTCCAAGACGGCCCTGGAGCATTCCAAGCGGGCCCCAGGTCGGCCCATAGAGGCCCCCCAAACGGCTTCCGACGGCTTCAGACGTGCCAGGAACCCACCAAGATGGCCGAAGTTGGCTCGAAGCTGGCCCGAGACGGCCCAAAAAGCCCCAAAGATCGCCCAAAGCTTGCCCAAGAGGCTTCCAAGACGGCCAAGATGACCTTCAAGATGCCCACGTCTTCCCCTGGAGGCTTCCCAAACCGATTCGGGGAACACATGGTCCGATAGCTTGGCAGGTCTGGCCTCAACGTTCGGCCACATAGGCGCTTCCAAAAAGGCAGGGGGCGGCGGTGATTCGCCGTAGGCGTCTTCGATCTGGCGTGCCGGATGATGTGAGTTGTTTTTTTGCTCTTTTGTCCGAAAGACCTCCCCCTTGTGTTATTTCTGCAGCGGGCGACCCCTGGAACCTGTCCAGCATCCTGAACATATACTCGCGGAACCTCCAGTACTGAACAGGCTCCCCCCTAGCGTCCAGCTCCGCCCGGAAGATGCCCCGGTACCGCTCGCGGACGAGCTCCCGGTCCGCGTCGCGCCCCTGGTGCAGGATGGCGATCTTCTCGTTGAGCTTCACCAGCTCGACCTCCTCCAGTCTGCCGTTGCCTCCGCGCGGGGGGCCTAGGTAACAGCGGTAACATCGTGGCGGTAACAACAGTGACAACGATAACGAAAACAATGGTCATAACGAACGACAGCGATCACAGCGAGCACGACGGCCACAACGATCGTCGTTGTCTTTAGGACGTCTTGAAAACCATGGTAGACGTTGTTATCATGGCCGTTGTTGTCGCTGGTATCATTGTTGACACTGCCATCATCGGGAAAGGAGCGAGCGAGCGAGGCGCCGGTCTCAGCATGTGCGGCGGGGCGCGCAATCCGCCGAAGCCATACGTACTCGTAGGGGGTCCTGGGCCCTAGTTTTATGTCGGGCCTGTCCCTCTACAGGGGGAAGATTCAACATGATGGACCCACGAATCCAGAAAGGGATATAGACATGTGCAGCGCATGGTCACGTTTTCACGATACCCAACTGGGCAACACCTCACGAAACATCGCGCGAGACACCCCGCGAAACATCCCACGAGACACCTCACGAAACATTCCACGAGACACCTCACGAAACATTCCACGAGACACCCCGTGAAACATTCCACGAGACACCCCACGAACAGGCAATCACTCAACCAGACACCCCACGAAACATTCCACGGGGGTGCGACTGGGTGTGGTCGTGCTGGGGTGGGGTCGTGCTGGGGTGGGGTCGTGCTGGGGTGTGGTCGTGCTGGGGTGTGGTCGTGCTGGGATGTGGTCGTGCTGGGGGGTGGTCGTGCTGGGGGGTGGTCGTGCTGGGGGGGTGGTCGTGCTGAGGGGGCGGGGGCAGGTTTACCACACTAAAAGAAAACCCTGGGCCCCCGCCCTTTCCGCGAAAAGAAACAAAAAAAATATGGGGACAATTGTTTGACTTTTTGTTGCCCATTTGGGGGGCATGTTTCTAGTATTTTGTCAGTTTCGGCAAAAATCCCCCTGTAGGGGAACAGGCCCCACCCAACCCTAGTTCCCTGTGAGATGTACAGTGCGGGCGCGGCCGCAAGAAACCCTCGCACGAAACCCAACCCTGAAAAGCCGCGCGCGAGGTGCACCTGAGGGGAAACCGAGAGCACCCCGAACGCAGCAGCTTCTTCAACGGCTGCGGGAGGTCACCGCGCAGCGCGAGGGGCGAAGAAGCCCGTGGTACCCTCACGAAAAACATACGGTTTCTTGATGCTCGCCTCCACTGTATGGGCGAGCTGCACAGGGAGAGGAAGGGAGGGCGAGGCCGACGGCGAAGAGCAAGGAACGAGGTGGCGCTGCTACTCAGCGTGCAGCTGCACTCCTGCAGAGGCCGACCGAATGCCGACGCCTCTGTCTTCGCACGCATGGGGGCAAAAGGGGGAAGCAGGACGCTCGAGGAGGGAGGGGGAGAAGCGAGGGAGGGGAAGGTGAGCCGATGAGCTCTAGGCCTGCGCTCGAGAGGCTGTGAACGAAGAGTCATGGTGCGACCTGCCGCCTCTGCTAGGAAAGGAATGCTGCCCCTGGTTCCCTGGACAACCGCACACGTCGTGTCCATCGTGGTCTAGATTTGGGCCCTGCGCTACAGGCTACGGGATGCAGTGACGAGAGGGTCAAAGGATGCACAGAATGCCGAGCTTCTGTTGACGAATTGCATGCCATTCCCATAATGCAAATTGCCGCATCTCCTCTTCTGGCTACCTACCAAACCACCCCAACCCAACCTGAAGACCCGAATCTGACCCGAATTTCGGGTTGGGGGGGTGCGGGTTCCATGTGGTTTTCCAATGTTCCCCGACCCGCCCCCCCCACTGGAAATGGAGAGCACATTGAGGCCTTCGGGTTGGGTTGGGGTGGTTTGGTGGATGGTGACGTTCGCAAACGCCACGACGTGGTCGGAAACTGCTACACCTGCTCGGTGTTGGTCTGGTCAGCTGCTGCCTGTCAGGCAGGCACAGGGGGGTGGGAGGGGAAGGGGAGCGAGGCAGCAGAGGAGGCCTAGGGCAACCACCTTCGCGCTTCGCGCTCCGCGAAGCGCGATGATCTTCCAGCGTTCGCGGCAGCCCCCCCCCCAAGGCCGGGAACAGGGTGAGGGACTCGCGCCTCGCTCTGAAATCGCCCAGATCGCGAAGCGCGAAGCGCGAGTAACTTCGCACCCTCGTGGTGGCCCCAGGGAAGCGAGAGAGGAGGAGGGTGCTTCAAGAGAAGCAGCCCTCTCGCCGTTGAGGTCATGCAGGTGGAACAGCTCGAGCATCATCGCCTCTAGCCGTTCACTCCGCGGGGTGTCCTCGCGGAGTGAGATTTGAAATAGTTCCCAAGTGCCTTGACGCCCCCCCGCTCTACTCGCGACGACGAGCACTCCCACTGTTGAGAGGGGTCTGAGCATCCCATGGCAGGTCGATTCGGAACGGTGCCCTCCAGGGTCCTACATCGCTTTGCGCATTCCCCCTTGTCACTCCCAATGGCTAGTTGAGCGCGTAGGAACCCTCATCACACCCAACGACCACGCCCAGAGCCCGCAGCAGCAACTCACCCACAATCCCACCCACCGCACCCACTCAACCACAGCACTCACCACCGACTCACCACCGCACCCAACCAGCCACTCACCGCACCCAACTGTTCAACCTCCAAACAATCTACGCAGTACTCAGCCTAAGAAACTGATTCACCCACCCACCCGCAACGCATCAACCCTGTGCACCCCCACACATCCATCGATCTGACCCGCTTTCACAATGGACCCTGGAATTATGTCGTTCCAATCCTACTGAAGGACCACATCCCAGAAATAATTTCGAGCACCCGGAAAAGTGTCAAAAGAGTGTCGAAACAATGTCGAAACAGTGTCGGGCGAGTGTCTCCCAGGGCCCGACACCTGACAACCCTTGGGTTTCGGTACTTTTTGGACGCTCGAAACTCGTCCCGGTGATCAAGACTAAAGTAGGTGATAGCATCATAACCCTGGAACACATATCCACCAACGCATCACGGCGTCGAGGACATCACGAGCGCCTGCGCAGCTGCTGGATGGGGCAGCAAAGTAATTGCTCGTGCTGGAGCTCGCGAGCGCGACCAGAACAAGGTGCTGTAGCAAGTCGCAAGATGCCGATATTGATAAAACAAACAAGCAAAGCCTGGAAACGAACACTTATACCCATGAAGATTTATCTCTATCAGCATCTCAAGACTAATGAGAGGGCGACAAATATTCAGTCTGGACGCGGCGAAACCATGAAGGGAAGGAAGCATCCGGGCGCACATGAGATACACATGAGCTGGGGAACCGCGCGACAAACCGTACCTCCCCTGTAGCTTCCTCCCCACCAGACCTACCTTCCCCCCGCATCCTCTAACCCCCCATATCTTGTTCCCCATCCTCCTCTACCCGCCCACCCACATCCCTCCCCTAATGTACTATCCCCCCACAGACACACACACCACCGCTCCTCCTGTCTCCACATCTCCCGACCATCCCCTCGCCCCTCCCACCCCTCTTCTCGCTCCGTCCAATCCCTCCCCCAACACCATCCCTCCTTCCTCCACGATGTACCATCGTCCCCCCCGAATATTTCTGCATCGTTATTTTTCCAGTCAGCGCAGAATAAAAAAAAAAGCTCACTTGTTGAAAAGATCGACACCCGAGCACAGCAATAAAGAAGCACAAAAAAAATGGCACATTCAACCTGCTTCATCCCGTACGGAGTCGCAATGTTCAGACGCCCATTCTAAGCAACGCTTCGAACCCCGACTGCACAGCACTCGCGCGTGCCCTGTCAGCTACGCCTCGTGCTACCATGAGGGCACCAGGAGAAGGGGAGGGAGGAAGGAGGGAGGGCGGAGGAGGATTAGGAGGAGGAGGGATGAGGCGGGACGAACGAGAAGGACGCGGAGGGAGGAGGATGGAGGGGAGGAGGAGGCGGGGGAGGAGGAGGAGGAGGAGGAGGGCGAGAAGGAGGCGGAGGAGGAGGAGCTACAAGGGGGAGGCTGGAGGAGGAGGGTGGAGGAGGAGAAGGAGCCTCCCAGGAGGAGGCCTCCTGGCCTTCTCCTCTCTACGAGAGGGGCTCTTCTGGCCACGGCGAGCCTCGGCCACTGACCGCCTCCCCGACCTGGATCTGCGGGGCGGCTCGAAGATCGGAGCCCCTTCCTGAACCCGAGGTGGCCCAGATGTCGGCGTCGTGACTGCAAATCCAGTCCCCTCGTCCACGCTCCCCCCCCCCAATCCTCCTCCTCTCCTCCCTCCCCCTCCCCCTCCCCCCCCCCATCACACTCCTCCTCCTCCTTCCTCCTTGCCTCCTCCCTCCTCCTCCCCCTACCTCCCCCCTCCCCTCCTCTCCTCCTCCTCCTCCTCCTCCCTCTCGCTCCTCCTCCTCCTGCCTCCTCCTCCTCCTCCTCCTCCTCCTCCTCCTCCTGCCTCCTCCTCCTCCCTCCTCCTCCTCCTCCTCCTACCCTCCTCCGCCTCCTCCTCCTCCGTCCTCCTCCTCGCTCCTCCTCCTCCTCCTCCTCCTCCTACTCCTCCTCTCTCCTCCTCCTCTCCTCCTCCTCCTCCTCCTCCCCTCTCCTCCTTCCCCCCTCCCATCCTCCTCCCTCCTCCTCCTTCCTCCTCCTCCTCCTCCTCCTCCTCCTCCTCCCCCTCCTCCTCCTCCTCCTCCTCCTCCTCCTCCTCCTCCACCTCCTCCCCCCACGCACAGCCGGCGCGACGGAGGCGAGTCCCGAGAGAAACGTGCCCGGGAGCCTAGGGGCTTCCAGGCCCGGGGGGCCGAGATAGGGGGCAAGCCTTCAGGACACGGCTGCCTCAAGACCTCAGGCCCTGATGTTACATCTTCGCGGGATCGTGTCTGTCCTACCACGCGGAAACGGCTTGAAATCAGAGGACGGGGACGTAAAATCTGGGGAGATACCATGGCCCTGGATAAGATATATCAACCCCCTCTAGGCGAGGAAGAAGCAGAAGAAACAAAAGCATCAACTGATAGATCTCTGCGCGGATTTCTTTCATTTGCGCTGGCCCTCCCTTCGTGGCGCGCGGAGCGCGCCAGGGGCCGCGCCGGAGGCGCCGCCCCTGGGCCCAAGCGCAAAACCAAGAAGACCGCGCGGAGCTCCAAAAGTCTATGCTCATACAGATGTTTTGTCGTCGATCTACTGGTGGCACGCACAAGAGGGTAGGGGGAGGGTGGAATGCTCATGGAAGGAGACAACTTCTAAGGAGGCGATGGCCCCAGATCTGCAGACAAGATCCGCGCCTTCTAAGGAGCAGGGGTGCTTCCAAGAAGCTTTCCCCCCTCCCCCTACCCCCGTCTGCGCGTGGCCAAGATCTAATCATCACCCCCCTCTTGAGAAACGGGTCCTGGACCCTGGGGCATTCCCCCAGGACCAGCTCTGTATCACGAGCCGTTTTCTGACGGTCCTGGGGTCCAAGGAGGGCCCCGGGAAGCCAAAAACGGCAAAAAAACCTCTCAGGACCCGTTTCCCTCGGGACCCGCTCTCCCACATGACGATTTACATCGTTATGCCTGTCGTCGATCTATCTAATCATCCCCCACTTCTTGGAGGTCCCCATCTGCGTTCGGGGATCTTCTGACCCGGGCCAATCCAGACCCGGGTCAGCAGGAAACCAAAAACTGCAATGCAGGAACAAAAAAACACTGCACCGCAGGTCTTCGCAAACCAGGGCCAGCCAACATGTTCGGCTGCCCCGCGGCCACGAGCGGCTCGCTGACCCAGGTCAGCCAGAGGTGGCCTTCGCAGGATCCTGCAGGATCCGGTGCCCTGGCTGACCCCCGTTTGCATTGACCCCCGCCTCAAGGCTCCCGAGCGTGTTTGCCGATTCCTTCGCCAGGAGGAGGAGGAGGCGGAGGAGGAGGAGGAGGAAAAGGGGCAGGAGGAGAAGGAGGAGGAGGAGGAGGAAGACGGGGAGGAGGAGGAGGAGGAGGAGGAGGAGGAGGGGAGGAGGAGGAGGAGTGGAAGGAGGAGTCCCCGCTGTCCTTGAAGCCCCGTCTGCGTGGTCGCACTCCCCTCGTGCGTTCCGGTGGCGCCGACCACGCGGCAAGTGGGGACAGCAGGGCCGCGCGGACTGGCGGGTAAGGACCCATGATGTTGTTCCATTGGGTGCAAGGGCCGGGCGAATGCGAGAGCTCCTCGCCCGCCGCCTCTTGCCGTCCCTCCCTCCGCTCCGCTCCTTGTCCCGTTCCTCCTCGCTCTCCTCCTCCTCCTCCTCCTCCTCCTCCTCTCCTCCTCCTCCTCCTCTCCTCCCTCCTGCCTCCTCCTCCTCCCTCCCCTCCTCCTCCTCCTCCTCCTTCCTCCTCCTCCTCCTCCTCCTCGCTCCTCCTCCTCCTCCTCCTCCTCCTCCTCCTCACTCACTCCTCCTCCTCATCCTCCTCCTCCTCCTCCTCGCTCCTGCCTCCCTGCTCCTCCTCCTCCTCCTCCCTCCTCCTGCGTCGCCTCCTCCCTCCTCCTGCTCCTGCTCCTCTGAATCATCATAATTAAGCATCAGCATCATCATCATCATCAGCATCATCATCACCATCATCATCAGCATCATCATCATCATCATCATCGTCATCATCATGATCAGCATCAGCATCAGCAGCATCATCACCATCATCAGCATTATCTTCATCATCAGCATCATCATCAGCATCATCATCATCGTCATCGTCATCGTCATCCTCATCCTCATCATCCTCATGTTGCTCATCATCATCCTCATCCTCCTCATCCTCATCCTCATGCTCAACCGCATCCTCATCCTCATCCTCATCCTCCTCCTCCTCCTCATCATCATCATCATCATCATCATCCCTCTTCCTCCTCCTCCTCCCCTCCTCCTCCCTCCTCCTCCACCTCCTCCTCCTCCTCGCCCTCCTCCCTCCTCCTTTCTCCTTCTACTCATGTTCACCAATCCCGTGCCCTTATAAGCAACCTCTCCATGTCACACTCCCGGACGTATCGGTATGGCCGGCTGGGCGTTTCGCCTGAGACGGCCTCGACATGTATGACCCTGAAGCTTGAAATTTGCAACAGCTTCAAAGATGGAGTGCGGGTCGATTACAAGATGGGGATATCGCCTGAGCGCCGCGCACGTTCGACTTTGCAACAGCTTCACGGATGGAGGGCGGGTTTTCTTCAAAATGGAGCTCTCGCCGCAGCGCCGCGCACATTCGTATAAGTCTGCATCAGGGTCACGGACCGAGGGGGGGTCGTTATCAAAATGAAGCCCTCGCCGTAGTGCAGCGCACATTGGCCTTAGAAGTTCGCAACAGTGTCACGGATAGAGGGCGGTTCCTTTTCGAAGTGGGGCTCTCGCCTCAGCGCCGCACAAATCCGCCACCGTGCCCTGAGGCACGAGTTGGAGAGTCCGCAAGTCCTTCGCCTGATCCCTTAAGCCTGGGTCCTCAATCCTGGGGGTGATTTCAATCTCGGTCCTCGATCCTGAGGATTCCGGAGGCTTGGCCCGTGCCCTCTTGAGCTTGTCGCGTCCTGTCGCGTAACCTTTTCGGGCCCAAGAGGGTCTCGAAACGGGACAGGAGTGCCTCAAGAGGGCCCAAAGATGGCTCAAGAGGGCCCCGAATGGCTGAACGATCGATCGAACCAAGACATGCAAGATGGCCTCTGGTCGGCAGACAAAGCGCCCCAGACGTCTGAAGAGGCCCCCAAGAGCCTTCCCAAGAGAGCCCCGAAGCAAAAATCAGTGATTTCCCGTAGACTGTTGAATGAGGTTGGGGTTATCCACTCTTCGAGCTTCCGACACTCCAAGGCGTCCTAAGAGGCCCCCAAGACAGCCCCAAGGCGGCCTCAGAGGCCCCCAAGAGGGCCCGAAGACCGCCCAAGATGGAGAGGGCCCAAGAGGCGCCCAAGAGGGGCACAAGACGGGCCCAAGAGGGGCCCCAAGAGGGGGAACGCGAACTGAAAATCTAAGCCTTCCGCTCCAAGAGGCATCCAGAGGCCCCCTAGAAGCTCCAAGAGGCCCCCAACAAGCCCGTACGAGGCCCACCCGAGGCCCAAAAGAGCCCCCAAGATGCCCCAGACCAGCTTCCCGACGGCTTCAAAACTGCCTTCAGGAGGGCATCGACGAGATCCCAACGAACACCAACGAGGCCTGAGACCCACAACCCAGGCATGGCGGGATGGGCTGGAGGCAAACTAGATTATGTTCAAAAGTTTGCAGCAAATTCAAGGATGGATTGGGGGTTGTGTTCAAAACGTAGCTATCGCTTTACTACCGCGCATATTCCTCCCAAAAAGTCTGCAGCGGTTTCATGCACGCTGGGGAGCAATGCCCCGAATGTGGCTGTTGCTTATGCGCCGCGCACATTCGCCCAACAAGCTTGCAGAAGCGTCCAGGATCAAGGGGGTGATTTTCAAGTTGCGCCTCTAGCCTACGAGCCGCGCAAAGTCTTGAACAGTTCGCAATACGTTCACGGATGGAGGGCGGTTCTTTTCAAAGCGGAGCGCACGCCTTAGTGCCGCGAATGTTCGTATCAAAAGCATGCAGCCGTTTTGCAGGATTGGGCAATTGGTCGTTTTCAACAACGGGGCTCTGGCCTCAGCACCGCACGCACTATTTGTTATAGCGCAACGCTTGGCAGGATGGAGGACGGTTCCTTTTCAAAATGGAGCTCGTGCGTGAGGCTTCGTTACTCCTGGAATCAAAACTTCAGCGAGCGCAGATCTGCGCGGATTCATGGCGGCCCGTTTTCAACGTGGAGCTGTCGCTTGAGACCTCCGCCCGGTGCATGACCACAGGAGCAACTGTGTCAACTACAGTAGGGGCTCGACCACAAGAAACATCGCACACGAAACCCAACCCTGAGACCCCAGGACGTCCATGGATTTTGGTGCGGGAACGTCGCGCTCTCAACGGCAAAACCATCGAAACCTGAGAAACCCAGGGCACCCTGGAGGCAAGCAGGGTGTTTCTTGGCATGGGCCTCCACTGTAGTTAGACGGATGGGAGGAGCGGCCCTTCGTCGAGAGGAGTAGATCGCTGGACACCTCGTTGAACTGTATACTCCAGATTTCGTAATAAAAGGGAGGGGGTCTCATTTCGGGGGGGGGATCTCGTCCAGGCTATCTTGGAGGGCCTGGGGGGGTCTGGGGACGATGGTTTGGAGGGTTCTCCCACGGGGGGGGGTCTGAAATGGCTTGTCTTGGAGGGTCCAGACCCCCTCCCTTTGATTACGAAATCTGGAGTACCCAGATTGTCTCGCGTTCCCATGTTTCGCCAGCAGCCTGTAAGGCAATGATTGCTCGGAGCGGGGCGCTCGCCATAACGGCAGCCCAATTGTGTTGACCATTTCGAGGGGGGGGCGCTCCTTGGAAGAAGGAGGAGGAGGAGAAGAAGGAGGGGGAGGAGTAGGAGGAGGAGGAGGAGGGACGGAGGGAGGAGAAAGGAGGAGGAGGAGGAGGCAGGGAGGATAGGAGGGGAGAGGAGAGAGGGAGGAGAAGGAAGGAGGAGGAGCGGAGGTGGCGCGAGCACGCAGCGCTCTCTCGCCGCCGCCGCCGCCCGCTGCCCCGAAGGGGCGGCCCCCTCTGGGGGGAGTAGACGCGGGCTCGAGCCGAGAGAGGCCGCGACGGGCGCGCGCGCGCGCGGGCGGCCAGGCCCACGCCCCCTCCCCCTCCCCGGGTGCTGCCAGAAGTGCAGCTGGCCCGCGGTGCCTCGCAGGATCTCCAATGAGGCATTATCCTCCTCCTCGCCCTCCTCGCCCTCCTCCTCCTCCGCCTCCTCCTCCTCCTCCTCCTCCCTCTCCTCGCCCTCCTCCTCTTTCCCACATACTCCTCATCCTCCTCCTCCAATCCTCCTCTTCTCCGCCTCCGCCTCCTCCTCCTCCTCCTCCTCCTCTCCTCCTCCTCCTCCTCTACTCGGTCGTCCCTCCTCCTCCCTCCTCCCTCATGAAGCCTCTACGCTGCTCCTCCTCCTCCTCCAATCTCCTCCCCTCCTTCCTCCTCCTTCCTCCTCCTCCTCCTCCTCCTACCTCCTCCTCCCTTTTCCCCTCCTCTTTCCACCTCCGTCTTACTCCTTCCTTTCCACCTCCCTTTTCCACCTCCCCTCCTCCTCCTCCTCCTCCTCCTCCTCTCCACCTTCACTCCAACCTCCACCCCACCTACCACCTCCACCTCCTCCCTCCTCCTCCTTCTCTCCATACCTCCTCCTCCTCCGCCTCCTCCCCCTCCTCCTCCTCTCCTCCTCCTCCTCCTCACATCCTCCTCCCGCCCTCCTCATTCCCGCCTCCTACCTCCTCCTCGATCCTCCTCCTCCTCCTCCTCCTCCTCCTCTCCTCCTCCTCGATCCTCGCTCCACTCCTCGCGCTCATCGCTCCCCCTCAACTCCTCCTCCTCCTGCCCCTCACCCTCCTCCTCCTCCTCCTCCTCATCATCATCCTCATCGCCCTCCTCCTCCTCTTTCCGCCTTCTCCTCCTCATCATCACTATCCCCTTGTTCTACTTCGTAGTCTCATTGTTTGTATGTTTATTAGCAGTATTCGTAGTCCTAGTCTTCTCAGCATTAGTATGACTAGCATCCGTACTCGTATTATTAGTCTGCGTTAAAATCGCATATAAGTATTAGGTTGCGTTTTCTTCGTGGTATTCGTCGTAGTATGCTTCGTAGTAATACTCGAATCATTACTATGATTCATCCTCCTCTTGCTATTCTTCCTCCTCCTCCTCATCTTCCTCCTCCCCCATCCTCCTCCTCATCCTCCTCTTCCTCCTCGCCCTCCTCCTCCTCCTCCTCCTCCTCCTCCTCCTCCTCCTCCTCCTATTCCTATTCCTCCTCCTCCTCCTCCTCCTCCTCCTCCTCCTCCTCCTCCTCCTCTTCCTCACTCATCGCTCCTCGCTCCTCGGAGGAGCGAGCTTATTCAGGGGGCGATCCATGGAGGGGCGAGAAAGGTACATTCTCGGGCCGACCGCCCTCTTCGGCCAGAAAAGGGCCCCCTCTCGGGGCCCGCAAGGGCTCTGGTTTGCGACCCTCGCTGCCGCCCCATCTGTCGCCCCCCACCCCCCATGACGCGGTCGGCAATTGCAACCCGCACCTTGGGGGCCTGGCGAAGACCTCGCCAAGGCTCCCCGCCGCGCCCCAAGGAGGCCCGACGAGGGCGACGTGGTGCCCCCCGGACCCCAACCGACGCAGGTCGCAAAACCACTCCCCGGCACAACCACACCCTTCCCACACCACCGACGTCGTGATGTTTCTCACGATGTGGACCCCCAGAAGTCTCGATCCACTCCCCGGGACCGGGTTTCAGTCGATCTCTGACGGTCCTGGGGCCCAGCGAGGGCCACCCGTCAACGTTCAAAAACGGGTCTTACGCGAGATGGCATAGCGACCTTACGCCGCGGATTATGCGGGCCACCAACGCGGCAAACCACCTTGAAGACGAGGGTGCTCAGGCGCGACCTTCCCCGGGCAGCTTGCGCGCGCATCTTGGGGAGCACGACCCCACTTTGCTCGCGTCGCTCGCCTGCTTCGAACTCAAGGGGGAGTGAGCTTATACAGTCGGAGCGTCGACCCAAGGAACCCTAAATAAGGAACGAGGCCCCTATTTTACATAAGTTGAACTTCGATTTCCGATCGAAAACATAAGGAACACCTGAGGCAAGCTGTGAAACACTTAAGGAACACGGAGCCCCTCCCCAACGAAAAGGGTTCCTTCTTCAGGGCCCCGACTGTAGTCGCCGAACCAGGCGAGGGATGGCCTCCCAGCGACACCGACAGCTGCGCCGCGGCGAGGCCGGCTGGCGCCCTGCCGCGCACCGGCTGGTGGCGCACAGGGGCCGCATCGCCGGCCTGGCGCGCGCGGACCCGCGGACCGTTCTCCGTCACTCCTCCCCCCTCCCCCTCCTCCCTCCACCTCCCCCCTCCTGCCCCTCCTCCTCCTCCTCCTCCTCCTCCTCATTCTCCTCCTCCTCCTCCTCCCTCCTCCCATCCTCCTCCTCCTCCTCCTCCTTCCTCCTCCACCTCCTCCACCTGCCCACCTTCCTCCTCCTCCTCCTCCTCCTCCTCCTCCCCCCTCTCTCCTCCTCCTCCTCCCCCCTAACCTCCTCCTCCTCCTCCTCCTCCTCCTCCTCCTACCTCCTCCTCCTCCTCTCTTCTCCTACCTCCTCCTCCTCCTCCTCCTCCTCCTCCTCCTCCTCCTCCCTCCTCACTCCTCCTCCATCCCCTCCTCCTCACCCCTCCCCCTCTCCTCCCTCCTCCCTCCTACCTCCTCTCCTCGCTCCTCCTCCTCCTCCCTCCTCCTCCTCCTCCTCCTCCTCCTCCTCCTCCTCCTCCCCCCTCCTCCCCCTCCTCCCCCTCCTTCCACCTACCCTACCTCCTACCTCCTCCTCCTCACCTCCCTACCCTCACGTACCTCCACCTCCTCCTCCACCTCCCCCCTCCTACCTCCCCCTCCTCAATCCACCTCCTCCACCTTCCACCACCACCTCCATCCGACTCCTCCTCCTCCTCCTCCTCCCTCCCATTCCCCCACCTCCACCTCCTCCTCCACCTCCTCTCCTCCACCTCCACCTCCTCCTCCACCTCCTCCTCCCTCCTCCTCCTCCTCCCCCTCCCCTACCCCCGTCCAACCCCCTCTCTCCTCCTCGCTCCTCCTCCTCCTTCCTCCCCACCCACCTCCTACCTCACCTCACTCCCTCCTCCACCTACCTCACCTCCTCCTCCTCCTCCTCCTCCTCCTCCTCCTCCTCCTCCGCCCTCTCCTCCTCTTCCTCCCCTACAATTAGACAATATGAATACTACCCTCCTCTCTCCCTGGACTCTGTCTGGAGAGTGTTCAGTCGATTCCGCGTATTGTTTCTTACACAAACGCCAAATCGTGTTCCAAAGCGTGTTCCCGAAGCAGCATTGGCGTGTCCGGTGCTTCCAACTCGCGCTGTCGCTGTAGCGCGGGCCTCGCTCCAGTGCTTCGGTCGTTCCAAAGCGTGCTCCCGCTGCAGCGGTGGTCTGACTCATGTTTTCGGTCGTGGCCTCGCTCCCGAGCTCCAGTCCTTCTACATCGGGCTCCCACCGAAGCGCTGATCTCATTTTCGTTGGTGCACCGCTGTGCGTTGCCATGCTTTGCTTTGCTACGCTTTGGGATGCAATGCTTCACTACGCAATGCCACGCAATGCCACGCAATGCTATGACATGCTGCGATCTGCCGTGCTCTTCTACGCCATGCTTGTCCATCCATCGTGTACCTTCTTGGTATCATTGCCCTACTCGACATCACTGCGCGAATTAGCCATGGTAAGCGCTTGGAGAGGGAGGGGTAGGACATGAGATGCGACGCTAGTGCACCTAGCTTGTCCTCCTCCTCCTCCGCCTCCTCCTACTCCTCCTCCTCCTCCGCCTCCTCCTACTCCTCCTCCTCCTCCTCCTCCTCCTCCTCCTCCTCCGCCTCCTCCTCCTCCTCCTCCTCCTCCTCCTCCTCCTCCTCCTCCCCTCCTCCATCTCTTCCGCCTCCTCCGCCTCCTCCTCCTCCTCCTCCTCCTCCCCTCCTCCTCCGTCCGACCCTCTCCTCGGCCTCCCCTCCTCCTCCTCCTCCACCTCCTCCTCCTCCTCCCCTCCTCCTCCCCTCCCCCTCATCAGCTCATCATCTCACATCATCATATCATCATCATCATCATCATCTCATCTCATCAACATCATCATCAATCCATCATCATCATCATCATCACATCACATCATCATCCATCAACATCATCATCATCATCATCATCATCATCAACAAGCACAGCATCATCCTCAACATCATCATCCACATCATCAATCATCATCATCATCATCAACCTCACACATCATCATCACCATCACCATCATCATCAACATAATCATAATCATCATCATCATCATCAGCATCATCAGCATCACACATCATCATCAATCATCAGCATCAGCATCACACAGCATCATCAGCATCATCATCAGCATCATCATCATCCGCTTCACATCATCAAAATCATCATCATCATCTCATCAGCATCATCATCATCATCATCATCATCATCATCCCATCATCTCATCATCGTCATCATCATCATCATCATCAGCATCATCATCAGCAGCAGCATAACATCCAACAAGCATCACCATCATCACATCATCATCATCATCATCATCACATCATCATCAATCACATCATCACATCATCATCATCATCATCATCATCATCCATCATCAACTCATCATCATCATCATCATCATCATCATCATCATCATCATCATCATCATCATCATCATCATCAGCATCATCATCATCATCAGCATCAGCATCATCATCATTCTCCTCCTCCTGCTCCTCTACCTCATCCTCATCCTCATCCTCATCATCCACCTACTCCTACTGCTACTCCTCTTCCTCCTCCTAGACCTCCTCCTCATCACTATCAACAACAACACCATTACCAGTTACCATCGTCACTATCACAATCATCAGCATCAGCAGCAGCATCATCATCATCATCAGCATCAGCATCATCATCATCATCAGCAGCATCATCATCGTCATCATCAGCAGCATCATCATCATCAGCATCATCATCATCACCATCATCCCTCCCTCCCTCCCTCCCACCCTCCCTCCCTCCCTCACCTCCTCCTCGTCATCATCATCATCAGCAACATCATCAGCATTATCATCAGCATCATCATCCTTATCCTCCTTCTCCTCCTCCTCCTCCTCTTCTTCCTCCTCATCTTCTTCATCCTCCTCTTCCTCTTCTTACTTCTCCTCCTCCTCCTCCTCCTCCTCCTCCTCCTCCTCCCTCGTGGGGCCTCTGGAGGCCAGCCAGGACTACCCGGGGAGGCCTGTCTTTGCGCAACCCGGAGCCTGCCCACCCCGCTCGGCGTCTTTTGTTCCGCGGGCTTGGCTATTCACGCAACCCTCCGGCCACCGCTGCGGTCTGCGCCGAGGCGACCGTCCGTCAGCCTCTCCATCCGCACCTTCGCGCGGCTCACATTCTGGCGGCCCAGCGCGAGCAGGCCACCCTCGATGCCCTTGAGGCAACGATCGAAGGCGGCCTGCTCCTGGCCAAGAGCCGCATGCATGCTCTCGACTACCGATAGTCGGGTCGGGCGAAAGGGGGGGGATAGCAAAGGAGGGGGTTTGAGGATCAGCTCACGTAGCTGACCTTCCCGGCGCCTCCCGGCGCCCGAGGCGGCCATGTGTCGAGGAATGGGCCCCATCCGTGGGGCCGAAACTAGCTGCATGCAGCACATTTCGTAACCCCCCCGTTCCCAGTCCCCCCCCTTTTGCCCGGCCCGAGATAGGAAGCCGCGCAGGCCCTCCTCCTCCGTGCACGTGCCTCCCCGCGACACCGCTGGCAACCACGACGCTGGTTACCAGCCTGGAACATATCCCTACCCCTATGCTGAGCAGCTCCTCATCTCGATGCCAATCTTAGGGATTCCCTTATTTGTTGAGGGCGAATCCCAAAGATTCTCATCGCCTTTTGGCGTGTCAATCTTAAGGACAGGGATACGTTCAAAGCTGGTAAGCTGGCGCGGTGCCCTTCACGCCCGTCGGCAGCCCGGGCTCCGCCGCCGCCGCGGCGCACGGTCCCGCGGCCAGCGCGGCCTCGGCGCCCTGGCGGGCGCGCGACGGCACCGGCAGCAGCACGGCGTCGGCGTCCCTGTCGCGAGGCGTGGCCGCGGCGGCGAAGGCGCCGCCGACGGGCGTCACGCCGAGGAGGCTGTCGGAGAAGGGCGTCGCCGGCTCCGTGGTGACGCTGCTGGCCGCGGGGGGCGAGACCGGAGAGGAGCTGCGGCGCCGGGCCGCCGCCCCCCAGGCCGCCAGCGGCGTGGCGCTGGGCGCCGCCGCGGGCGCGCCGCCCGGCAGCACCACGGGGCCCTCGCAGGGGACGCGCTGGGCTGCCGCGTGCGCGCCCAGGGCGCCCACCTGCCTGGCGGCGGGGGCCGCCGCGGCTGGCGAGCTCGCCGGCGGAGCGGGGCGCAGCACGCGGTCGGCGGGGAGCGCGCGGACCGGGGAGGCAAGCCGCCCGTAGGCCTGCGCGATGTCCATGGCGTGGGCCTCGTCGAGCATGTCCGCGACGGTGCAGAGGAGGCGGCCGTCTTCTTCCTCGCCCCGGCCGTGCAGCTGCTCCGCGCAAGACCGCAGGGCGCCTCGCGCCCGCGCCAGCAGCGCGACCAGCTTCTCCACCACGCCCTCCTGCAGAAGGCCTGCCTGCACCGGGGCGATGTCGGCGCCCGTCGAGAAGGCGTGGTAGACGAGCGCCCACCACTGCCAGACGCTCTCGCGGTAGCTGGCCCACGCCTGCAGGACGGGCTCCCACGAGCTGGGGACCTCCTCCGCGCCCGCGGCAGGCGCCCGCAGCGCCAGCGAGCAGATGAGCTCCAGCGCGGTGATCCCCAGGCCGTGGACGTCGAGGCGGCGCTGGTACTGGTCGCAGAGGTCCGGGCTGTCGTCCAGGCCGTCCGGTCCCAGCAGGTGCATGACCCACGAGCTGGGCGGCCAGTAGCGGCTGTCGCCTCCGATGTACTCTGCGCGCCAGCCGCCCTCGCTGCCCACCCAGCTCTGCGAGTCCACGGCGAGGCCAAAGTCGATGAGCCAGAAGTTTGCCTGGGAGGGGAAGAGTGGCATGAGCAGAAACTGCTGAAGTCCGCGCGGGCTTCTTGAGTCAGCGCTGGGCACTCCTCCCTGGTGCGCAGAGCGCGCCAGAGGCGGCGCCAGAGGCTCCGCTAGGATGGCACAGCGCCGACCTCAGAAACCCGCGCGGACCTTCGAAGCTTGTGCGCGTGCCGATGCTTCCTCTCATTGTCATTCGCAGTGCTGGATTGTTCGTATTGCTACGATGCTACGATTCGTTGATGAATCCTACTGTTCGCACCTTTCTTCTCGATGCTATGAGTACCCGTGCTTGTTGGTGCTGAATTCAATCGCAATGAATCGTCATGATAGTTGTCTTCGCATTGTTCATAGTACTCGTAGGATTGACAACGAACCGATTACAATTCGCATTGAAATAACATTCGCAACAATACGATTGCTATCAGTAGTAGTATTGGCAGAATCTTGATACGTGATATCGCATTGCTATGTTTACTCGTATTGCTAGTAGTGGTAAGTGTAGTAGTCTCGTTGCCGTTGTCGTATCAATAGAACTAATACGACTCTTATTATCAATATTTTTGTTGCTCAGGTGTCCGGCCGGGCTGACGTCACCATACCATGCTAATATCACGTTTAGCCGCGAAGGCCGGTTCCTATCGAGACGATGTTTGCTTCACGCTTGAGCGCTTATGCGCTTGGGACGGAGAGGCCAATCAATGCTAATATCACGTTTAGCCGCGATCGGCGGCGGCTCCTGGGGAGGAGGAAAGAGGAAGAGGAGGAGGACGGCATGAGAACACAAGGAGCAACAATCAAGCCACCCTGCAATAGGCGAACCGTTGCGCGCCACCAAGGTTCGAAGAGACTGACGAGCGCAAGCCTAAAATCGAGGATAAGCCGATACGTCCAAGATTGAGATTATGGGGGAGGAGGAAGGGCGGGGGAGAACGAGGAAGGAGGAAGAGAGAGGAGAGGGAGAGGCTGATACAAGAATGCCCAAATTCGTACCCTCTAGTTCCGTGCAGTGCACGGCGGAGAAAATAAAACGCACCCAACTGAGCGACGCTCAGGCCAACCTGCGATAGGCGAGCCGTCGCGGGCACTGGCAACATCACGTAGTTATACTAATACAATCATAGTAGCATTGTTAGAATTATTACTACACTTAGTACTATTAGTATGATAAGTATTCGCGCCTCCGCAATATTAATACAATCGTAGCAACAGTGTTACAAGTCTTATTACTATGGCAGTGATTATTATTATGGCAACGATCATGTGTATGATTACTATGGTTCTGCTTATGATTATGATTATGCTTATGCTTATGCTTATGATCATGGTTATGATTAATATGATTGTTACTCCAGATTTCGTAATAAAAGGGAGGGGGTCTGGACCCTCCAAGACAAGCCATTTCAGACCCCCCCCCGTGGGAGAACCCTCCAAAACATCGTCCCCAGACCCCCCCAGGCCCTCCAAGATAGCCTGGAAGAGACCCCCCCCCGAAATGAGACCCCCTCCCTTTTATTACGAAATCTGGGGTATGCATAATATTAGTATCATTAGTCGCGCCTCCGCACCAGCGCTGGCAATGAGGATGTTGTGCGGGTTCACGTCGCGGTGCCACGCCACGGGCGCCAGCGCCTCCAGCGTGGGCCCCACGTCGCAGATCAGCCTCCGGGCCAGCGCGCAGCCCCGCCGCAGGGCCTCGGGGCGGGCGCGCGGCGGCGGCGAGCGCTCCACGAAGCAGTTGATGGGCTCCCCGGGGATCACCTGAGGAGCCGAACCATACTCCAGAGTTCGTAATAAAAGGGAGGGGGTCTCAACCCTCCCAGACGAGAAGTTTTAGACCCCCCCCCTGGGAGAACCCTCCAAAACATCGTCCCCAGACCCCCCAGGCCCTCCAAGATAGCCTGGAAAAGACCCCCCCCGAAATGAGACCCCCCTCCCTTTATTACGAAATCTGGAGTATACACCGATGCTTTTTGCCCGCTCCCGCACTGGGATCCGCACAAGAAAAAAAACGGATGATGGTGCATATGGCATCCTGGTGTATACAGTTCTTGATGGTTCCACGAGAGAGCGGGAACACAAGTATGCACCACACCACCCCGATGTAGGGGAACAACAGGTCACATAAGCATAAAAACTCGGAGGTCCGCGTGGATTTCTCGGATCGGCGCTGGGACCCCCCTCCCTGGCGCGCGGAGCGCGCCAGGGGCGGCGCCGGAGGCGCCGCCAGGGGGCCCCAGCGCCGATCCGAGAAATCTGCGCGGACCTCCGAGATTTTATATTTATGTGACTTTTTGCTCCCCTAGGGCTCCCTGGGATCACCGTCATGGCCGTGCGCACGGCCCAGCCCCCGCCGGCGCAGCTGTGCACGCCGTGCTCGATGCACCGCGGGGCCCGGAGCTCCCGCGAGGGCGAGGTCCACGCCCGCTCCAGGGCCAGCATCACCTGCACCTCGAAGACGGCCTGGTGCAGCTCCTGCTCGCTGGCGCACCGCACCTCCTTGAGGGCCACCTCCCTGAGCCCGGACGGCCCCGACAGGACCTGCGCACGCCAGACCTCGCCGTAGGAGCCCTGGCCGAGGGCGTCCGTGCAGCGGAAGCGGTGCTGGCCGATGGCGAGCTGTACGCCGGGGCCGTAGCCCTCCTTGGAAGAAGGGGAGAAACAGCAGAACCGTGTTTGCCAGCTTGGACCCCACAAAAAACCTGATTGCGCCGTGGATGTGCAATAATCTGTGTGGTGCATGCCGCTAGCAGCGTGATGGGAGCTGCGTGGGGTGCAAGCTGTGTGCTGCAGGCTGTGTGCTGCAAGCCATGTGATGCAACGGAAGGTGGTGCACGTGTGGCATGAACTTTGTACATCGAACGAGAACAGCCAGCGCCCCCAGGAGGGAAAATGAGGAGGAGCAGGAGGAAGAGGAAGAGGAGGAGGAGGAGGAGGAGGAGGAGGAGGAGGAGTAGGAAGCGATTAGATGAGAGTAGTGATAGTTGAGAAGGAGAGGTAGGAGGAAGGGAGGAGGTAAGGAGGGACAAAGGAGAGGAGAGTGAGGAGGCGGAGCGGAGGCTTACCCTGCCGGGGCAAAGCAGCATTACTATGAGGAGAGGAAAGAGAAGGCCGCAGGGGGGGACGGGCGGAGTGGAGAGGCGGTCGGAAGTAGGAGGATGGAGGGAGACGGGGAATTCGGTAGGAAGGGAGTAGGAGGAGTACCGAGGCATGACAAGGGAGGCGGTCGAGAAGGGAGGCGGTAGTAGGAGGCGGCCTAGAGATGATGAGCTGAGCGGAGGCTGAGGGGGTCGGCTAGCGTGGCGCCCTCGACCGGCAGCGGGCGGCAGCGGAGCGAAACCTCGGCGCGCGCGCCCAGCACACGAGGCGCCCGCGCGGCGCCCTTGGCGAGCAGCCGCGGCCGCGGCCGCGGTGGGGGCCAAAGCCGCGGCGCGCCCGGCCCGGGGCACGAGCCAGGCGCACCCGGGGCGCCCGCGCGGGCCGGCAGTGTGGCGAGGCATCGACGGGGAAGGGGCCCTGGGACGCAGAAATAAACTCGGGGATGGACAGACCCCCCTTTAGCAAAACGTGGTTTAGTGAAAACGACCTGAGGCCCAAACCTGGCGGGCGCAAGCCTGGAAAATGACGGCCACGGCGCCCTCTCGAGAATCGAAAACGGATAATTCACTAATCGACGTGTCACTGTTGGGGGTTCTGTCCAGCCCCGATAAACACACACAGAGAACAAGATTCCCCATACAAGGGGCCCCCAGGAGCCCCCCAAGAGGCCCCAGGGGAACCCAAGACGCCGCCAAGGAGCCCCAAGACGCTCCCAAGAAGCCCCCAAGAGGCCCCCAAGACGGCCCCAGGAGGCCCGAAATAGCGCTCCAGGGCCGGCGGAATGAGCGAAGCGATTCAATAAATACACACAGATAACAGGATTCCCCATATAGTTTCCCAATATGCTCTGGGTTTGCTGCCTTCCCCCCACACACACCTCCCATATGTTCCCCTGTCTTCTGAGTTTCTGTCGTCCTCCCCCCCCACTTCCCATGGTTTCCCATGTGTTCTTGGGGAGTCGACGATTCATCGTGCCTGTGTGTTTCCCCTCCTGAACATCGACAGACCCATCCGGTTCCATTGTCTGATTGGCAGCAGAGGAACCCCCGACCCTCTGGGAGGCGACCTGAGTGAGGAGGCCTTAGACATGAGGGATAGGAGGTTTTTTGTTCTGCAGACGCATCAGAAACCACACCGCCCAGAAAGATGATCCCGAATACATCGTGTTCTTGGGGTTCGGGTTTCTTCGAGGATTGTCGGCGGCGAGCCCGGGGGGGAAGCGAGAAGGGGCGGGCCTTCTCAGAAGGCTCGGAAGAACCCGGGCCTTCTGAGAAGTTTTCGGCACCTTCCCTGAAGGACGCAGAACAAAAACCTCTCAGAAGGCCCGAGGCCTCCAGAGAAGCCCGACCACCTTCTGAGAAGGCCCTCTGCTTTTGACTTCCCCCACTCGCTCGCCGCTGGGGAGTCTGACTCCCTGAGTACGAGCACCGTGCCTGGCGGATATGTGTTCTCGGAGGCCCGAGCGGAGTTCCTGGGATTCGCGCTGGACCCTCCCCTCCCCCCCGATGGCGCGCGGAGCGCGCGAGGGGCGCCGCTAGGGGGGCCCGGCGCGGATGTCATCACCCGGTGACGTAGCCAACCCGTCCTGAGCAGATGGCAGGCATACCCAGGACCGCTCCCTACAGACAACCACGCTGAAGGACTCGCGGTGCGCACGAGCTCCCGGGATCACACCAGAAATCAGCACGCGGGAATGGCAAGATAGGAGCGGGGGCAGCAGCGTGCGGAGGAGGGTGAAGGGGGGACATACGTGTTCAATGACAGTGACAGCGCCGAGCGCTGCATGCGAGGGACAGAGAACAGCGCGATACGCTCTGAAGCAGAACAGCGCGCAGCGCCGAGCGAGGCGCCACCTCCTGGGAGCCCACGAACGCAGCGACAAGTGCACACTTCGCAGCCCCCCAGGAACCAGCGAGGTCTCAACTGGATCTCCATGAACCCCTAGGTCGGGCGTGTCCCCCCACAGGGGGACGTTGTGTGCGAAAAATAGCAAATACTCGAAAAATGCTCCAGAATGGCCAAAAGTGATATCAGTTTTGTTGTTTCGTCCCCATACTATGTTTTGGCTATGCCTGAAGACTCCTCCGGTGGAGGGACAGGCCCGACGTCAAAGCACCCCCACTCCGCGCAGGCCTCCCGGGGGCCCGAAACCGGCGGCAGCCTCACCGGGGCCTCCCCCCCTTCCCCGGGAGCCCCACGAGGAGAGGCGGAGGGCAAGAGAGGGGGGAGACAGGAGTGAAGGGGCCCCAGGACACACAAAGAAGTACACACAAATAAAACAATTCCCCATATTTTCCCGTAGTTTCTGGGTTTTTGTCTTCCCCCCCACTTCGCATATTTTCCCATATTTTCCTTGGGGATCGTCGATGAATTGTGCCTGTGTGTGTTTTTGTTCCCCTCCTGAAGGAGGCAGGAGAGATCGGGGATGGACAAAACCCACATTGGCAACACGCGGTTCCGAGAAGACGACCCCGGGCCCAAACCTGGCGGGGCGCAGGCCTGGGAAAGGACGGCCGCGGCGCCATCTCGAGGGCCGAAAAAACGGACAACTCACGAATCGACGTGTCAGGGGGGGGTTCTGTCCACCCCTGAAGAGAGGAGGAGGGGGAGGAGGAGGAGGAGGGAGAAGACGCGACCGCAGTGCTCAAATTCAGAACGAAAACCCCACACGGGAGGGTTGAGGGAACAAAAAGAAAAGACGCACCGACCTACGAAAACAGGGGAGCAGAAACCGCATCGATGATACACCGCCGTGAGAAACCCATCGGCGTGACACCGCTGAAAGAAGCTCCCTGCCGTCGGACACAAACGGAGGAGCAACACGCCGACGGGCTCTTCGCGGCGGCGTGACACCGATACCCCCATCTCCCTTCTGCCTGTGGCCTGTTCCTCCAAAACCCAGATCCCTGCCCTTGCCCTCCAGCAGCTTCTTTCCCTTACCCTCCTCTGGTGGGGTAGCACAAGGTACAGATAATTACCGCTACTCCCCAGACATCTCCTGGGGTGCGTTCTGACCAGGATCTCGAGGCGAATCCAGCGGTGGCGACGAGGTCCGCCCAGGAGCCCCCCAAAAAAGGGAAAACGAGCGAAGGGTAGAGGCATGGGTGCCTTTTTCTACTCCGATGTGGGGGTTTGTGCGCTCTTTCCCCTGGCCCTCCAGGACCTTTTGAAGAGGCCCTGGGACACACCAATAAATACACACAAATCAAAAGATTCCCTACATTTTCCCGTAGTTTCTGGGCTTCTGTCTTCCCCCCCCACTTCCCATAGTTTCCCATATTTTCGCCGTCGGGGACACCTGCCCCTGGGCGGCTGGAAAGTTTATACCCTTGCGGTGGCACCGTAGGGGTATGAGCTTTCCAGCCGCCCAGGGTTCAGTGTCCCCGACGGCGGCTAAGTTTATTTTATACCGTTCTTCTCTTCGCTCGCTGAGATTATTTGTCCTATTTGTTTTTCTTTTTCCCCTCCAGGAAACCTTTGCGGGTAGCTGCGCCGGCCCCCTGAGCCCCCGCTGCGCGGGACGGGGGCAGGCTAGCGGCACGACGGGCGTGGCCGTAGAGCGCCCCTCCTCGGTGGGGGGGGGGGGGGGGGCAAACGGGTGCCGTCGCCGCTTGCAGGGAAGTCGGGCCTGTCCCTCGACAGAAGGCATATGCAGAAATAGTCAAACAAAAATAGTATGGGGACGGTTGTTTGATTATTTTTTATCATGTCGGGAGCATGGGGGGGGGGGGCAAACGGGTACCCATGCCGCTACAGTCAAGTCGCGGCCTGTCCCTCGACGGAAGGAAGATCTTTTGGTTATCTTTCAGCAGTTCGGGAGCATGTTTTGATCATCTGTCCATTCTCGCCCAAAATCCCCCTGTAGCGGGACAGGCCCGACCTGACGCTGCAGCCCGACCTGGGACAGAAGAACATCCTCCAAGACTATGAGACCGTCCGCCGGCCAAAACGCACAGGACATCCAAGGTACCCTCACCAGGATGCGCGAGAACGTCCAACAGACACGAGGAGCATGAGGGTACTATCACCGAACCGACCTCGATCTTGTGCTTCGGTCCCGCGGTACTCGCCGTGCATCTCCTGGGGGGCATTCTGACCAGAATTTCGAGGAGAACGCAGCCGCGGCGCCGAGGGACCTCCCGGACGGATCGGAGGAACAACGGTGGCTCAAAATCGGTCCCCGGGCACCCCCAAACGCACCAGTCTTCCGAGCAGCGGCCAGCCCAAGCGACCAGGGCGCCCCCCGAGGGCCAACTACCGTTGTCTCAGCTGGCCCTCCTCTGAAACGAGCAGCGGTGCTTTTTGGCAGCGAGCGAGGGGGGGAAGTGAGAAGGAGAAGGCCTTCTCCGAAGGCGGCGAAACTTCTGAGAATCCCTTGCGCCTTCCGAGAGGAATTGTCTGTCTCCGGGGAAGGCTTCGAAAACTTCTCAGAAGGCCAGGGGACAAGCCGAGACTTCTGAGAAGGCCCGCCCCTTCTCACTTCCCCCCCTCGCTCGCCGCCGAATGTCGGAGACCTCCCAGACTGGGCCGGAGCAGGTGGGGTCGGAAGATCGCGCCGCCTCGGCTACGCGACGTCGGCGATTCTGTCTCTGGGGAAGGCTTCGAAAACTTCTCAGAAGGCCAGGGGACAAGCCGAGATGTCTGAGAAGGCCCGCCCCTTCTCACTTCCCCCCCTCGCTCGCCGCCGACCTTTGGAGACCTCCAAACCAGGTGGTGAGACACCCGGTGCTGACCCCGTTTCCCCAAAGAAATAATTCTGGGTCACCACTGGGTTTGGGGACACGCGGTCGCCACGAGGTTTTGCGTCTCCTGGGCCAGCCAACGCTCGAAAACCATTCACCACCGGGTGTTCTCACCACCACGTTTGGGGACCACCGCCGAAGTTCGGAGACCTCCCAGACTGGGCCTTTTGCATGCTCAGTGTGCGCTGTGCGAGTGTAGTGATACCCGCCGCCCAGCACTGGTCTATTTTCAGTGGCTGCGACCCGGCGCACGTGCATTCTGCACAGTTTTCTGCACATTTTCTGGCCTTCGTTTTCCATGCCAATGTGTGCCGATGCGCCGTCTAGGCGCGGCTTCTTCTGTTCTGTTCCCGGACGTAGCTGATTTTCCCGGCGCCTCCCAGCGCCGGAGGCGGCTATGTATCGAGGAATGGGCCCCTCGGTGAGGCCGAAACCAGCTGCATGCAGCAAATTTCGTAAACCCCCCTTTCCCAATCCCCCCCTTTCGTCCGGCCCGAGTTTGGGGACCACCGCCGAAGTTCGGAGACCTCCCAGACTGGGCCGGAGCAGGCGGGGTCGGAAGAGCGCGCCGCCTCGGCCGCGCGACGCCGGCCGATGCACCGGCGATGCGTCGGCGGAGGGCCGCCACACCGAGCCGCCTCGCGGATGCATCGGCGACGCGGCGCGGTCCTCCGACCCCATCCCGAGGAGAAAAGACTGCAGAAACGTACTTGAAGGGGCCCCAGGACACACAAATCAAGACACACGAATAGCAAGATGCACCACATGTTCCATTATGTTCTGGGTGTTTGTCTCCCCCCCCAATTCCCATAGTTTCCCATAGTTTCTGGGGAATCGGCGATTAATTGTGTCTGTGTGTTTTCTTCCTCCTGAATAATGTATTGGCGCTCCAGGCACATTTCTTGGATCTGCGCTGGAACCCCCTCCCTGGCGCGAGGAGCGCGCCACGGGGCAGCGCCGCAGGCGCCGCCGGGGGAGCCCAGCGCGGACCCAAGACATCCGCGCGGAGCGCCAAACGCTTTTGCTGATGGAGTTCAGTTTCGTCGGCCCCAGGGAGGCCTGGACTGGCGGCGCGCAGAGGGGGGCAGGGGGAGGGGGGAAGGCCTCTTGGGGGGAGGCTGCTCCTTCGAAGGCGCCGGCCTGACATCTACCGACAAGGCCCGCGCCTTTGCCCCC